CGAGATTGCACCATTGCACTCCAGCCTGGGTAACAAAAGCGAAACTCTGTCTCAAAAAAAAAAAAAAGATTGCATAGAATGTATATATCAAGGTGGAAAGAACTGGCATCTTACGATATTGAGTCTTCCTACCCATGAATATTACATCTCTCTCTACTCATGTAGCTGTTTGTAAACATTATCTTTCATCAGAATCGTGTGGTTGTCTTTATATAGATCTTGTACACATTTTGTTATATGTATTCTTTTTTTTTTTTTTTTTTTTTTTTTTTTTTTTCTTTTTTTTTTTTTTTTTTTTTTTTTTTTTTTTTTTTTTGCCCACCTGCAACTGTCTTGATCAAGTTATATATATTCAATTTTTTTGGTGCTAATTAAAATAGCAGTGTGTATTTTATTTTTGTTTTTTTGAGACAGAGTGTCACTCTTGCCCAAGCTGGAGCGCAGTGGTGTTGAAGCAGGAACGGCGGGGAACAAACCTCTGAAACAACGAACTGAGGAAGGAAGTGGCTTTTTATTCAGCCAGGAGCTGCAGGTGGGCTGCAGCCTCATTCACTGAGCTCCAGGAGCTGCAGCTTCTCTCCCCTTTTATAGGCTTATGCTAAAGGAGAAACGGGCAGAACTATGTCATTGTCCATTTGCTGGATTTCTGACCATACAATCTTTTGACTTCATTGATTTGCTAATTCATACGCAGCTTGAGGTGGAGGGGGACGGCAAGGGAAGGGGGCTTACAGAGACCGGACAAAAGCAGCAAGCTGTTTGTTGGCAGAGGTGTTTCCAGGAGGGAGCCTGGTCTGTGGAGATGTGGGGGCGTGACCCAGTGCCTGGCTCCAGCCGGCAGAGATAACATTCATTTGCAGCTCTTTCAAAGTTAGCAGATAGCAGAGATGCTGGGAACTAAAGAGGGAGTCATTTTTTCAGCTCGTTGGTATTTTATTTCATTTCATTTTTTTTCCTTTTTCACCCTCCTTCCCTTCTGGAAAGGGGGAAGGAGGAGGTGAAATAGAAGGTGAAGGGGTCTCCCCTCCCAGCGTGGTCTCGGCTAACTGCAACCACCACCTCCCGGGTTCAAGCAATTCTCTTGCCTCAGCCTCCCATGTAGGTGGGACTACAGATGCATGTCACCACGCCCGGCTGATTTTTGTATTTTTAGTAGAGACGGACGGGGTTTCACCATGTTTGCCAGGGTGGTCTCGCTCCTGACCTCAGGTGATCCATCCACCTCAGCCTCTCAAAATGCTGGGATTATAGGCATGAGCCACTGCCCCTGGCCAGCAATGTGTTTTTAGTGTGGAATTCTAATTGTTCATTGCTGGTATATAAGAAAACAGTTGAGCTGGGCGCGGTGGCTCACACTTGTAATCCCAGCACTTTGGTAGGCCGAGGTGAGTGGATCACCAGAGGTCAGGAGTTCGAGACAGGCCTGGCCAACATGGAGAAACCCCATCTCTACTAAAAATACAAAATTTAGGGGATTGTGGTGGTAGGCGCCTGTAGTCCCAGCTACTCGGGAGGCTGAGGCAGTAGAAGTGCCTGAACCCGGGAAGCAGAGGTTGCAGTGAGCTGAGATCGCGCCACGGCACTCCAGCCTGGGTGACGAGCAAAATTCCGTCGAAAGGAAAGAAGGAAGGAAAGCGGAAGAAAGGAAAGAGGAAGGAAGGGAAAGAGATAGGGAGGGACGAAGGAAGGAAGCGGGGAGGGAGGGAAGGAAGGAAAAAGAAAACAGTTGGCTGGTGTTGAAACCCTGTCTCCTAAAAATACAAAAATAATCCCAGCTACTTGGGAGGCTGAGGCAGAAGAATGGCTTGAACCTGGGAGGTGAAGGTTGCAGTGAGCTGAGATCATGCCACTGCACTCCAGCCTGGTGACAAAGCAACACTCCATCTCAAAATAAAAAAAGTTAACAAAGATAGTTTTATTTCTTCCTTCCCAAACTTTTATCTTCTTTTCTTGTCTTACTGAACTAATTAGGGCTTCAATATGATGTTGAATAGGAGTGGCGAGAGGGGGACATCTTTATTCTAATTTTAGGGAGAAAACTTCTAGTTTCTCACCATTAAGTATACCCTAGTGGCAGGGTTTTTTTGGTAGTTGTTCTTTAGCAAGTTAAGGACAGTTCCCCTCTACTAGTTTGAATGAGTGAATGTTGGATTTCTGAGGCTTCAGTTTGAAATCATGTGAATGCTTGTGTGACATCCAGAGGGGAATGTTAGGAAGGTGGTTGGAGATAAGCATAGTATCTAGGAGAGGGAACTGAGTCAAGGAAGAGCAGGGAATCACTGGCACATTCACGATGCCCGAAGTCATGGCTATTGACGTGATTGCCAGGGAAGTATGTGCTGCTGCTGTTGATCAGGCAGCTCGTTAACTTGATCAAAAATAATCAAAATTCTGTGCACAATAAATACCTGTGACTCTAAATGTGTGTTCCTGAGGATAGCCTGACTACCTCACTGGGACCACAGTGTAAAGACTGTTGATGACTTGCTGTACCTTAGGCACTCTGCTAGACAGTGCCTCGCACTATCAGGTTATCTCACTTGATCCTTGCAATGTTCAGGATGAGCACTGTTAATCCCATTACCCAGACTGAGAAAACTGAAACCCAGAGAGTTTCAATATCTTACCCAGGTGAGAGTACTCATAAGACAGGGCTGAAAGTGACTCTGAAGACTGTGCTTGCCCTGCCACACTGCCCACAGTGTTTGGGCAAGGTGAAAAAACTGAGGCTCAGATGGGAATGACTACAGGGAGTCTGAGGAGAGGATGTGGGCTCCATCTTCTGCTCCGTTGAGTTACCTGGAGTGGCCTGAGGCTCAACACCACTCCGTCTAGGAGGGAAGGGCTTGCTTGGCCCAAAGCGCCTAGCCTGGAGTGTCTAGTCCTGCACTGCAAGAAGAGCTGTAGGTCTAAGGAGAACCTCCACCTCCAGAATTCAGGCAATGGTGGCTAAGATGGGAGGACAGTTACCCATCCACTGACACTGGCCCCTCACACTCTGAAGCCCTGGTCTTCCACATGCTCTGACCCAGCATACCTGTACTCTCCAACCCCCGAGGGTGGCCTGACCTGAGTTTGGGTCTGTGTGCTGCTTTTTACAGTGTTTGAATAATTCAGGCCCCAGAGGCCTGAGGTGTCAGTTTTCGTTGCTCTGTTGTCATGGGCACAGGTGTCTCAACACCTGTGTAATGCACATGTGTAATTAAGCTAATGAAAGGACAGAGAGGGAGGGGTGTTGTCCTGTGCCTTGGACTCCTCTAGGCTGATCAAGGGAAGTCCCTGTTCCCTGTTCTGCTGAGAGATCAGCAGGCTCATCTAGAGTCCAGGTGTGGGGAATGGAAGAAGGAAGGAAGGAAGGGTGAAACAGAAGTAGGAGAAAGGGAGAGAGTAGAAAGAAGTGGACAGGGGACAATCAGAGTCAGGGAGGCAGAGAGACCAAGAAAATTACAGAGGGAAAGACAAGGAAGCAGAGGCAGAACAAAAGGCAAAGTGGGTGGGGAGCATAGGAAAGGGCAGGCAGAGGCCAGAAAAAACAAGGCCCAGCAGAGAAGAAGGACCAAGCACTCAAGTCCAGGGGCAAGCAATTGGAGGATCAGAAGACAGGAGGGGCTGCAGGGCACCTTAGAGGGTGGCTGGACCCACCACAGATCTCAGTCTTACTTCTGACTTCTAGGTACTGTCCATACCATCCTTGCCAGCTGGGCCTAATTTTGCCTTAGGTCTGGCCAGGAGGCCTCACACCCAGAGACCTGCCCCACTTCCTACTGTGGCAGGGCCATGGGGCTCCGGAGCCACCACCTCAGCCTGGGCCTTCTGTTGCTGTTTCTACTCCCTTCAGGTATGAAGCTCAGTACCCCATCCCTGGCTTCTCCTGGTAGTGCTGCTATTCCCGTCCTCCCCAAATCCCTCTCCATGTGGTCTCTCTTGTCTTTCTCCTCAGTACCTGTTCTGAGAGCAAGCTCTCTATTCAGGGAGTGTAGAGGAGAAGGGTGCTGAAGAGGCTGAGAGGAGACTTGCTTGGCTGGGGTGGGAACAGTGAGCAGGGAGACTCCAGAGACGGGGCTAGGAAAATCAGAGGGGCCAGATGCTGAAGGGCCTGCCGGCCAGGCCAGGACTTTCTCTTGCAGACAATGGGGAGCACTGAAAGGTTTCAGCAGCATCCTGGCCTGGTCAGATGTGCATGCTTAAAAGCATGGTCTATGGGCATGGAACGGGTAGGGAAAGGTGAGCCTCAAGGAGGGGATAGCAGTAAGGGGAGGGGCCTGGCCAGGAGGGTAGAGGATGGACTCAAGACAATGTTTAGCGAAATCTGGAGGATTGGAAGGATCTGACAGGATCTGGAGATTGACTGGATTCTCCAGGGAGGAGGTGGGAGAGGGAGAAGGGAGGGATAATTCCCACATTTCCAGCTGAGGTCACTAGTCCAGCTGAGGGCATGCTGTTTGCTAAGATAGGGAACATGGGATAAGAAGCAGTTTTCAGTCGGGTGCAGTGGCTCATGCCTGTAATCCCAGCACTTTGGGATGCCGAGGCGGGTGGATCATGAGGTCAAGAGATCGAGGCCATCCTGGCCAACATAGTGAAACCCTGTCTCTACTAAAATACAAAAATTAGCTAGGTGTAGTGGTGCACGCCTGTAGTCCCAGCTACTTGGGAGGCTGAGGCAGGAGAATTGCTTGAAGCCGGGAGGCGGAAGTTGCAGTGAGCAGTGGGCTGAGATCGGCCACTGCACTCCAGCCTGGCGCCTGGCAAAAGAGCGAGACTCTGTCTCAAAAAAGCAAGTTTCAGAGCATAGAGGGAAGAACTGAGTTCATATTTTGTTCCCTCAGAGTTTACGATGCCTGTGGGAAACCCAGGAGTAGACTGTATTCTATTTGGGTCTGGAGCTCAAGAGAAAAATCTGGGATAAAGAAAAAGAAGGGAGCCAAGGACGGGATTCTCAGGAAGAATCTTTAGTTCTGGGATTGACGACAGTGTGTGTCAGGAAAGCCTAGGGAAGTGTGTTTTCAGAAAGAGGGAATGTTCCATCGTATCAGAAGTTTTGAAGAAACGAGCTTGAGATGGAGAAGTGGAAATTGTAAGATTATTCGAAAGAAAGGAGAGACAGACCCAGGGTCAGGTTTAGCAAGTTTATTTAACCTGCCAGGCTGTCTTACCACAGGCAGTGGTAAGAAGGCAGCCGCCGGGCTTACAGACTATGGGGGTTATATAGGGGTTTGCAGGTAGTCGGGTACTATTCTAAGAAAAACTATTCTGGTTCTTAGGGCTGACGTCCTGTTCACTGGGGTCAACATCTTGGGTTTGAGAGCCACGTGCGACCACATCCCAAAATCTAGGTGCCCTGTTTACAAGGCCTGAGGCTGTTTCTGTTACAAGCTTGGCTTAACGGGAGAATGGAGGGGGTGGGCTATGGGCCCTTCTTGTTATAACCCTAACAGAAACAGGTTTAAGAGAGACGAGGGGGCAGAGCAGTGGGGTTCAGAATCCCTGGGTGAAAGTCTATACTCTTGGGGCTTATTTGGGTTGCTCCCACATTTGTGGAAAGGCAGACAGACTCCAGGTCCTTGGAAAGGGAAGGATGGAGGATAAATTTGTCAGCCTGGTGCCAGAAGATAGGACCAGTTCACTCCACGGCCTTTACCTCATGTGTCCCTGCAGGGAGAAACTAGAGCCACAGCTAGAGCAAGAGAGGGCAGACACTAGGAGGGCATTCATAAGGACAGGGCCCCAGCCCTGGCAGTGGAGGGTGGGAGCAGAGGCCCCAGGACTAGGGCCTGGGATGGACAACCCTCCTTACTGCCCCTCCAGAGTGCCTGGGAGCTGAGGGCCGGCTGGCTCTCAAGCTCTTCCGTGACCTGTTCACCAACTACACAAGTGCCCTGAGACCTGTGGCAGACACAGACCAGACTCTGAATGTGACGCTGGAGGTGACACTGTCCCAGATCATCGACATGGTGCGTTGTGGTGGTGATACAGCTGTGGAATCTTAGCTGTCTCAGTGTCAAGAAATGAAGGGGTGAGAGACTGGGATTCTTCTCCATGGAATCCCTTTTCTGTAAATATTAACAACAACAGTAACGGTTACTAACTATGGGGTACTGACTGTTGGGTGCCTACCTTCTACCCAACATTTTGCACACTTGAACTTACTGAATCCTTGCTAAGCAGGGATTCTTACCCCATATAACTGCTGAGGAAACTGAGGCCCAGAAAAAAGAAGAGCCCACTAAGGTTACATGGCAAGGTCAGGCCTGGGTGGGAACTGGACAGTATGGACAAGTTGGGTTTGTGGGTGCTGACCAGAGCCTTGCAGGTGAGTGTGCACAAACAGGGCAAGATATACATATACATGTCCACATCTCTGCCACTCCCTGCCCCGACTAGGATGAACGGAACCAGGTACTGACTCTGTACCTGTGGATACGGCAGGAGTGGACAGATGCCTACCTTCGATGGGACCCCAATGCCTATGGTGGCCTGGATGCCATCCGCATCCCCAGCAGTCTTGTGTGGCGGCCAGACATCGTACTCTATAACAAGTACTGCCTATCTGGGCCCCTCCCCTCTCCTACCCCTCTCTAGACTTGCCCTTAGCCCTGAGTGTGCACTGATGCCCTCTCCCTACCACCTAACCCAGTTGCCATGCTGCCCTGGAAGCATTCCCCCAGGACCCTTCTAAGCTGCCCAGCACTCACAGCCCCTCCATGGCACCCCCACTTTAGGCTATCCCAGACCAGCCCAGGCTGAACGTCTCCTGGGAACCTACTGTGTGGTCCAGGGCAGATGTCTGAATCACAAGGGCCTCTCTAGGGCACACTTTTAGCTCCAGGTCTCTCAAGGCTCTCTCAAGAGCCTAAGGGTCTCTTTCCTCCAGGACATAGCCCTCTGGAACACTGCTTTATTGTCTCCTTGACCAGTTTCGTGTCTCTCAGCCAACATATAGCTCTGCATATTTTCTCTGGGAACCCCTCTACATGTTTTGCAGATGGCCCCCAAGGGAAGTCACTGTATGGCCCAGAGGTACTTCTGGGTTCTGCAGAGGCCTTTTTTTTTGGGGGGACAGAGTGTTGCTCTATCACCAGGCTGGAGTGCAGTGGTGCAATCCCAGCTCACTGCAACTTCCGTTTTCCAGTTTCAAGCAATTCTCCCGCCTCAGCCTCCCGAGTAGCTGGGACTATAAGCATGCACAACCACGCCTGGCTAATTTTTTTGTATTTTTAGTGGAGACGGGTTTCACCATGTTGGTCAGGATGGTCTCGATCTCTTGACCTTGTGATCCGCCCGCCTCAGCCTCCCAAAGTGCTGGGGTTACAGGGGTGAGCCACGGTGCCCCGCCTGCAGAGGCCTTTTTATACATCCTTTAGCTAGTCTGTGTCCCTTCTGGGCCCTTCAGGCACCACCCCTTCCAGCCCTTGAAAGGCAGTGGGTCTCTCTAGGTGCACATCACCCTCTATGTGGCTTTGTTCTGAAAACAAAAATAAAATTAACGAAAGAAAAGCAGAAGTTTATTAACCTGCTGTACCCCTCACAGGAGAGGCCTTAGTTCAAAAGTATTTTTCTCTGAGGGCAGCGGCTTAGGGGCCTTGTTTAAATAGAGATTCAAGAAAGAGCCAATAAATTGTAAATAGTGGCAAGACAAAGGAGAGGGCAGTTCCAGCCTTTAAAAGGCAGGAAAAAGTGGGAAGAGGGTGAAATCTGTTCCCAGATTCCTCTGGTGCCTGCTGGTGCCCTTTGGATAAGCAAGTGCTGTCTCCAGCAAGGAAGGAGTGATGTCCTGCCATCAGGCCAGCAGAGGCTGGGGCCGGGTGCACCCCTGCGTCGTGAGTGTCTCGAACTTCACCAGCCTCAATATTCTGGGGAGAAGTTTTGGTTTCCGTCAGTTGGGGGTCTGCCGTGGGCTCCCGGCCGGCCACTCCTTCGGCAGAACAGCCTGGGTGAGCCCCGCCCCGCCTGTCCACAGGGCGGATGCGCAGCCGCCAGGCTCCGCTAGCACCAACGTGGTCCTGCGCCATGACGGCGCCGTGCGCTGGGACGCACCGGCCATCACGCGCAGCTCGTGCCGCGTGGACGTGGCGGCCTTCCCGTTCGACGCCCAGCGCTGCGGCCTGACGTTCGGCTCCTGGACCCACGGCGGGCACCAGCTGGATGTGCGGCCACGCGGCGCCGCCGCCAGCCTGGCAGACTTCGTGGAGAACGTGGAGTGGCGCGTGCTGGGCATGCCGGCGCGACGGCGCGTGCTCACCTACGGCTGCTGCTCCGAGCCCTACCCCGACGTCACCTTTACGCTGCTGCTGCGCCGCCGCGCCGCTGCCTATGTATGCAACCTGCTGCTGCCCTGCGTGCTCATCTCACTGCTCGCACCGCTCGCCTTCCACCTGCCCGCCGACTCTGGCGAGAAGGTGTCGCTGGGCGTCACCGTGCTGCTGGCGCTGACGGTCTTCCAGCTGCTGCTAGCCGAGAGCATGCCACCGGCCGAGAGTGTGCCACTCATTGGTGAGCAGCTGGGGCGCAGGGCAGGTGGGGGGGTGACAATGCACGGGGGGTTCCCCCAGGGTGGGGCCTCGACTGGGCCGGGGTCTGCGGAATGGCCCCGCTTCAGAGCGTGAGAGGGGCGTCCTGGGAACGTGTCCTGATTTTCAGACCGAGGAAAGGATTAGATGGTGGAACAAGGCCTACTTGGTGGTGGAACATCAGAGCCTACTAATAGGCAAAATCTATTGAGTGCTCGCTGTGTGCCAGGCACTCCCCTAAGCACTTAACCTTTATTAATTAACTCAGGTAAGCATCACCACAAACCTAGGAAGCAGGCCCTCTAGCTATCTCCATTTGTACAGAAAGGATGTGTATCTTGCCCCAGCTCATGCCCATCGTTATTTGAGAGCAGGACTCTTCTGGATTGTGTATGAGTACAGCCTGCAGCGGTGAGGGGAGCAATTAGGGAGCAGTAGCTTCTGATGACCCACATGTAGGAATGAAGGATGGGAAGAACTAGGCCCCTACCTCCTTCCTGCTTCCATCCATGGGGCTTGGAGGGTCAGGAGAGCCTCATGCTGGGCTTATTTCCATTTGTGCAGAGGAGGCTCAGGATCCACAGGCTTTTGTTTTGAGTCTCAATTGGCTCTCTCTCTTGCAGGGAAGTACTACATGGCCACTATGACCATGGTCACATTCTCAACAGCACTCACCATCCTTATCATGAACCTGCATTATTGTGGTCCCAGTGCCCACCCAGTGCCAGCCTGGGCTAGGGCCCTCCTGCTGGGACACCTGGCACGGGGCCTGTGTGTGCGGGAAAGAGGGGAGCCCTGTGGGCAGTCCAGGCCACATGAGTCATCCCTTAGCCTTGAGCCTCCTGAGGGAGGGGCTGGCCACCCAGAGGGCCCTTGCCATGAGCCACGGTGTCTGTGCCGCCAGGAAGCCCTGCTGCGTCATGTAGCCACCATTGCCAATACCTTCCACAGCCACCGAGCTGCCCAGCGCTGCCATGAGGACTGGAAGCGCCTGGCCCGTGTGATGGACCGCTTCTTCCTGGGCATCTTCTTCTCCATGGCCCTGGTCATGAGCCTCCTGGTGCTGGTGCAGGCCCTGTGAGGACTGGGACTAAGTCACAGGGATCAGCTGCAGCCACAGCCCCTCCAGAAAGGGACAGCCAAGGCCAAGTGGCTGCTGGTCTTTAGGCCAGCCAGTCTCCCCACTACTCCTAAGACCCTGGACACTTGACTTCACAATCCACGAGGGAGCACTCATTGTCTACACACCCTAACTAAAGGAAGTCCAGAGACCTAATTCCAAAAAAAGAGGAACTCTACAAAGGCAATGTCACAGAGTACAGTCTTGGAGGCACAGAATTGTTGGTGCTGGGTATTAGAGCTGTCCATGATGAGCATGCTGGTTATTTTGAGAAACAGAACTGCCACAATTTCCTGTCTTCCTTCCTAGGTGGCTGCTTTGCAGGGCCTTGGCTCTTACCTTTCCCTGCCTAGGGGCGCAGGGAAAAGGATTGGGGATTCTCAGTCTAGTTTCCAGACAGGAGGCCCTATGGACATTTGGCCCCAAATTCCCAATTCAATAAAGTAAGCGTGTACCTAGCACCTCCTTGATATCCAGTATTACCCTTGAGGTCTGTGGTGGTGGAAGCTGGGGGTCCAGATCTGTCTGTACTTCAGGTCTGTCTCATGGCCGCTGGTGCAAGTCCTGGAATTCAAAGGCTGAGAACCTGAAGTTCTGATGTCCAATGGTAAGAGAAGGATGTCCCAGCTCTAGGAAAGAGCATGAATTGCCTTTCGCCTGCCTTTTTGTCCTCTCCATGCCGTCCCACATTGAGACTGGAACTTGCCCACTCAGTCCACCAACTCACATGCCAATCTCCCTTAACGACACATCCAGAAAGAATGCTTCCCCAGCTGTCTGGGTATTAGTGGTGTCCATGGTAGTGGGTTATCATAACTTATGAATGCCACTTTCACTAAAGTTGATATATAACCCCCCACTGATAAATTGGACTAGCTTAAAAAGAAAAAAAAATTAGGCAACCTGGGCAAGATAGGGAGACCCTGTCTTTACAAAAAATACAAAAATTATGGCTGGGTGTGGTGGCTCACGCCTGTAATCCCAGCACTTTGAGGGGGTCAAGGCGGGCAGATCACAAGGTCAGGAGTTTGAGACCAGCCTGGCCAATATGGTGAAACCCTGTCTCCACTAAAAATACAAAAAATTAGCCAGGTGTGGTGGTGGGCACCTGTAATTCCAGCTACTCAGGAGGCTGAGGCAGGAGAATCGCTTGAACCCAAGAGGCTGAGGCTGCAGTGAACCAAGATCACAACACTGTACTCCAGCCTGGGCAACAACAGTGAAAATCCATCTTAAAAAAAAAAAAAAAAAGCCAGTACTTTAGGAGGTCAAGGCAGTGGATTACCTATTACCTGAGTTTGGGACCAGCCTGACCAACATGGAAAAATACATGTCTGTACTAAAAATACAAAATTAGCCAGGCGTGGTGGTGGGCGCCTATAATTCTAGCTACTCAGAAGGCTGAGACAGGAGAATTGCTTGAACCCAGGAGGTGGAGGTTGCAGTGAGCCGAGATTGCACCATTGCACTCTAGCTTCGGCAACAGGAGTGAAACTCTGTCTAAAAATAAAAGAAAAAATAGGTGCGGTGGCACGCATCTGTAGTCCCAGCTACTTGGGAAGCTGAGGTGGTAGGATTACTTGAGCCCAAGAGTTCAAGGCTACCATGAGCCATGATGCGAGGGGCCTCAGAAATCATGATTAGAGCAGAAATTACACCTGTACTGACAAAAATAATGACTGGGATTTGACTGCAGTGCTGGCAGAGGACAAGAGCTCTCTCCTGCTCTCAGTGTGCTGGAGTTAGGCACTGTCCACCCCATTCCCACACATGGACAGTGAGAGCTTCACAGTGTCCAAGGCAGGGGCAGTGCAGGGACCAGCCACTCATAGGCATTTTTTCCTTTCTGAGATTCACACATTTCCTGATACCACCTCTGTGCCTCAGACCCAGTCCCTTCCCTCAGGAAGCTTACAGTCTGACATGGCAGACAGACATGACACGTGGTATAGAGAAGCATCCAGGGCTCTGTATGGGAGCGTAGAGGCAGGGTCCCTACCCCAGCCCAGTGGGAGAGGTCAGAGAAGGCTTCCTGGAGGAGTGAACGGGAGCTTTGCAGATGGACATATGAGGCATCTGAATAACACCAGCAGGTATCACGGCCAAATGCTTTCCTCTCCAGTTACCCCCAAATCAGCAAAAGTCCTTTCTATCTCCAAGTGAGTTGCTGCCTGTCTTGAAGTCCCCCCCCCAATCTCCCTACTGGCCCCAACCCATTATTCAGAGTCTCACTCCTAGAGCCCTGGGTAAGTTCAGTCCCCAGAGTGTCTCCTGTTTCTCCCCCAGCAGGTCTGACAGCTACCAGAGAAGGTCCTGGAGTTCCTTGCAGATGGGGTTGCCAGGAATCTTGGTTACACTGAAAGCACACATGGCCAACATCCTCAAGCTGGGCAGAGATGGTGGGCAAGGCTGTCCTGTGTCTCATGCATTAAGGGAAGCCTGGAGCATCTGGAAAGGGCCTCACCGTGAGGAACCAGAGCAGTAGCAGCAGAGCCCAGACTGCAGAGAAGCGGCTTTGCCCCATGGCTGCAGAGAAAACAGGCAGAGGGGTTGGTGGGGAAAGAGAGAGAGGTATTTAGGGGCACAGGAGCAAAGTGGGGACATGCAGTTACAAGGTGGAGAGATTGGCAGAGCGAGCTGGACAGACTGACTTAAAATTGCCACGGGCAAAGGAGAAGATCAAGTTTAAGGAGGGGTGGTCCAATGGTAGTGCGTTATCAGAACTTACTAACACCAGTGTCACTGAAGTTGATGTACAGTCCCCCCACTGCTAAATTTGACCGGCTTAAAAAAATTTTAGACAACCTGGGCAACATAGGGAGATCCCTTCTCTATAAAAAATACAAAAATTAGCCTGGCGTGGTGACGTGTATCTGTAGTCCAAGCTACTTGGGAGGCTGAAGGTGGGAGGATCACTTGAGCCCAAGAGTTTGAGGCTACAGTGAGTTGTGGTAGCACCACTACACTCCAATCTGGGTGACAGACTGAGACCATGTCTCAAAAAAAATTTTTTTTAATAATTTAGGAAGGTAGACAGATGAAGAGACCAATTTAAGCCCCACTTGCTCTTCCAGAGATCATTGGGTCTAACTTTCTGCCTTCTATTGGCATGAATAAGGCGCTGCAGAGTGGGATGAAACATGGATTCAAGATCGGAGTGGGATCTGCTATGGCTGAACTTGGCTTCTCTCAACTCTGGTAGGAGAAGGTGAGGGGTGGACTTGGAGGAGAAATCTTAAACTTTCCAGTGCCTAGAATTAGATAATCAGAACTCAGAGATGCGTGGGTTGGAGGCTGGAAACCTGGCTTCTGGTCCTGGCTCTGCCACTAACTCACGGTCATCTTGAGCAAGTAGCTTCTCTCTCTGGGTCTCATTTGACCATCTAAGGAGGGTAATGCTTCCTGTTCTGCCTCCTTCCCATAGATTATTGTGCAGTAAAGACAAGATGAAGGCCAGGTGCTGTGGCTCATGCCTGTAATTCTAGCACTTTGGGAGGCTGAGGCGAGAGGATCACCTGAGATCAGGAGTTCGAGACCAGACTGACCAACATGTCGAAACCCTATCTCTACTAAACAAATTAGCCAGGCGTGGTGGCCCACTCCTGTAATCCCAGCTACTCGAGAGGCTCAGGAAGGAATCGCTTGAAGCTGGGAAGTCAGGTTGCTGTAAGCTGAGATTGCACCACTGCACTGCAGCCTGCATCACAAGAGTAAGACTCAAAAAAAAAGAGATGATGTCTGGGGAGGTGCTGGGACCATCCTAGTGTGGTGGCTCAGAGTTTGGCTCTAGAGCTAGGCTAGACTCCCTAGCCTCCAGTTCTTAGTAGCTGGGTGGTACGAGTCGGTTGCTGTCTCCTCTTTGCACCTTTGTGCCTTGGTTCTGTCATCTGCAGAACAGAGGTGATGACAGTACCATTGGGGTGTGGTGAGGATGAATGGCATGATGTACCTGGAGTGGATCAGAGGAAGCTGGGGGGGGGTCCTTCCTGCCCACTCACAGAGTTCTGAAGGACAAAGGGAGCACCCAAGGCTTGGGGAGGAACTACTGTTTCTTCCCTGGAAATGGCCCATTCCCATCTAGAGACACCAAGTGTCCAAGGGAAGAGAAGAGTCACAGCTGGGGATCATCTGGTCCAATTTGCTATTTATACACATGGAGAAACTGAGGCACAGAGAAAGAATGGGCTGGTCATAGACAAAGAGCAGAGCCTGGACCGCAGCCCAGGCCTCCAGCACCCAAAGCTTGGCCTCGTGACCTTCCAAGGTGGGTTTGAGGGAGCCCTGAGGGCAGTTACAGAGACATTGGGTTCTGCACTGGGAGGCAGAGAAGGACCCAAGGAGGACTTTGTGGGGAGCAGCCCTTCCGTCCCTCAGCTCAGTGCAGCCTGAATCTTTCAGGGGCCTGATGACTGGCTTTTTCCTGCAAGGGACAGGCAGACTCAGCCTGGAGAGCAGGTGTCGCTCCCCCAACCATCTGCTCTCCCACACACACATTCCCTGGCTGAGGCTGGCAATCCCCAAGGTGCCACTTCAGAGAGTGCACTTTTTTTTTTTTTTTTTTTTAATTTATAAGGTTGTTTTCTTATAAAAAGATCTAGGTGGGCCAGGTGCAGTGGCTCATGCCTGTAATCCCAGCACTGGGGAGGCTAAGACAGGTGGATCACCTGAGGTCAGGAGTTCAAGACCAACCTGATCAACATGGTGAAATTCTGTCTCTACTAAAAATACAAAAAATTAGCCGGACATGGTGGCATGTACCTGTAATCCCAGCTACTTGGGAGGCTGAGGTAGGAGAATCACCTGAACCCAGGAGGCGGAGGTTGCGGTGAGCCGAGATAGCGCCATTGTGACATAAAAAGATCCAGGTGATGGGGCCAAGCCCAGGGCAGTCTGCTCATCCCTGAACTGAGTCCCACAGGTGCCTACAGGCCTTACCTGAATTATCCAGATGGCAAGGCCCAGACTTGCACTTCTTGTCTATGGAAAAGAAACAGTAAAGAATGAAAGGCTCAGGAGCTCTCAGGATGGAAAGGGACTCCCAAACCCTGGTGGTCCATTCCTGACTCGTTCTAGGAGAAGTTGGTGCATAACCCCCTAATTCTGCTCTTTCATGGTGGAATCTCCCTTGACTAGGTTTGCCTCAACCCCTAAGCAGCAGGGCCAGAAGGGAGTGGGCCATTAAAGCTACGGTCCACTCTGGGGCACTCCTGCTCCCTGGGCCTGTAACTTTGCCTCCCTGCCGCACTCACTGCTTCTTCTTCCATGCCTTGCCACAGCCTGGTTTGTGTTCTTCACATGCCTTCATCACCTTCTGTCAATTCATGCACACTCCTGATGCTGTCCAAAATAGGAAGTGAAGCCTACAGCCCTTCAGAAATTAAGAACCTGGGCCCATCCTCATGGTTCCTCTTCTGGCCTGTGCTGGGGCATGGACAGGAGGAGAGTCCACCACTTCCTGATCACAGCCTGAACTGGGCCTTAGGGGCACAGCACCCGACTGCTGTCTTCCTGCCCCCACCACCCCACCCAGCACACCCTGAAGCACAGAATCCCTCTTCCATCTTCTAAATGCACTTTTCTCAGAAACTGAGGTTGGGGATCCTACTCAATTCTGGCAACAGCAGTCTAGGTGTCAGTAATCTGGCTGGAAAATAATTCCCTTCCAGCCTCCAACCAGGAGAAAAGCCCGACCAGGTCGGCTCGCCCACACAAATGGCCAGAGACCCCTGCCTTGGCCAGAATACCCCCTTTAGCCTTCTAGCAGGCAAGTGGCCAGCTGTGGCTTAGATCCCTCCAAGGGGCAGGAAGTGCACCCCTCAGAAGGTTATGTCTCCCCTTAGATGGAAGGGGTTGTGAGCTGGTGAATGTGACTGGCTGTATTTATGTATCCCTGGGACACAGGAGATAGGGGCTTGGGTTTGCCCAAGTCCCTGGTGGATGGGGAAGACCCACCTTCCGCACAGGTGCTGACTAGTGCTTGCCCTCCTACCTTTGATGTACTCGCAGTTGTAAGTGCTGTGCCTGCCCAGGGCCCGGAGGTAGATGCGGGCGGGCCCCTGGGCTGGTCTGCTGGCATTGATCACTTGGAAGGTCTCAAAGGGGGGGATCAGCACCTCTTCCTCTCCAGGGAAGAAGGAGTAGCCCTTGATAGGGGCCCCAAGGCAGGTCCAGATGCCAAAGAAGGTGTCCTCACCAAACTGCTGGGCTGCAACATTCTTCAGGGAAGCGGAGGCAAAGCCCCCCAGCCTCACGGTGGCCCTAGGCCCTGCTGGTCGGAAGCGCAGGCCGTTCACGCCTCGAAACACCTGGTGGCACCGGGGTGGACGCTGCCTCCTTCCCAGCAGCTGCAGGGCCTCAGTCAGCAGGAAATGGAGTGTCTTAAAGGAGAAGTGTTGGAGGTAGTGGGCCCGGGAGCGGCCTGCCTCACGCACCGCTGCGTTGAACTCCTTGTGCAGGGGGCTGTTGGCTGTGTAGGCCAGGAGGGCCACCCCATGCTCATTGCGGAAGCCTGGAGGTGGCGGAGGTGAACTGGTAGGGCTGAGGCTCCATTCTGGACCCCAGGCCTGGCGCTCCTGCCATTGGCTGCTTGCTAGTGCCCAGCCGTCTGCATATACCTTGTTGGCCTGAAACTCCGTGTGGTTGAGATCCGGGAGAGCAGCTGTCATGGCGGTGGCACAGCCAGCGTACTGGTCATCAAAGGAGGTCAGGGCCATGTCCAGCGGCATCTCTTGAGAGAAGAGGTCTCGGTGTGTGATGGTGTGACTCTGGGCCTGATGGGGCAGGAGCAGCAGGGACTGAGAGGATAGGCCCCTGGGAGAATAAGTCCCCTGCCATCCAGCTCTGCCCTCCACTGAGAAAGGCACCAAGGGCCCCAAACACACCTGGAGGGGAAGGGGATTGGGAACCTCTGGCTATAATTTCCCTAAGACTAGCATCTGGGGCTGTCCCCTTAGGATGAGTGATCCCCAAGGGAAGTATCGGGCATTCTTCCCTCTCTCTCTCTTTATCCATCCAGGGTTCAGAAGAAGCCGATGGCTCAGTTCCCTGCTGGGATGGGGACAGTGGGGGATGCCCATACCTGAAGTGCTTCCATGAGGCCCACAGACACAAGAAGCAGAGACATCATGGCAGGCATCTGCATGCTGGTGGCCCTAGGCCAGTTGCTGTCTCTCTTTGGGTCTCAGTTTCCTCATCTGGAAAATTGCAGTGTTAATCTGTATAGTTTAATAAACATGAATCGACACTTAGTCTGTGCCATTCCTAGTGCTTGGCACTGAGAGTCGTAAGATAGATGTGGAGGTTCAGAAGAGAGAGGACCGTCCTTGCTGGAAGGAACATGGGTGACTTCCTGGGGGCAGTGACGTGAACAGGGTCTTGCAGGATGAATAGGAGACTAAGATGTCAGCAAGTGGAGACTGGGAGAGAAAAGACTGGCATTTCGGATGGGAATGGACTTCTGTGCAGCAGGAATGGGAAAAGCAAAGGTATTGGAGGTGGGAATCTGAGGATGTGAAGAGGGAAAGACATGTCATCTAGGCTGGCAGAGCTTGCAGGGTGGGAACATTGGGAAGACAGGGGCCACTCATGAAGGGACTCGACTGCCACGGTGAGAGGCCTGGGTATCACCTCACAGGGCTTGTGGGGTTGGGACAGGGGCAGATCAAGGAGTGTTCAGCTGATATGGCCCTTAGCAGGACTCCAGGTCCAGGGGTCGCCCCCTTTCCCTGCAGTCCTCTTGTGGAATGAGTCTTCGGTGCTTCCAGGGAGGGACAGATATAAACCCTGGGTGCTAGGGGAATAGGGGATCATAAGAGCAGGAGAGGACAGAAGGTACTGGCTTCCGCAAGGGAAGTGGTGGGAACCACAAGCCTTCTGCACCCTCCCTGTTGGGGGACAGGTGGAGTGCCCCAAGTGGCTCCAGGCATCGGGTCTCAAATGGAACAGGCAGTTTTTTTTCTTTTCTTTCTTTCTTTTTTTTTTTCTGAGACTGAGTCTCACTTTGTTGCCCAGGCTGGAGTGCAGTGGTGTGATCTCAGCTCACTGCAACCTCCGTCTCCTGGGTTCAAGAGATTCTCCTGCTTCAGCCTCCCAAATAGCTGGGATTACAGGCATGCGCCATTAT